GAAGCGTCGGTGGACCTGCAGCGCGACCGAGTGGCTGCGAGGCGGGGACTTGCCCATCACCCCGGCCTGGGGGATCGTCCTTCGGGGGCCGAACGGTCATTCACCGTCCCTGGGTGCATGAATGAAGTGGAATTCCGCGACGTGGATTATGTTTGTTTGTTTGTTTGTTCGTTCGTTCGTTTGTTTGTTTGTTGTCGTCCCACCCGCGACACGCCCTGCGACCCGCCCTGCGGCCCACCTTCGACCCACCCTGCGACCCACCCGCGCCCGCCGCCTCACTCCTTTCCGCAACTGCAGGGTATTTACGGATTCGACGATGGACCCCTTGTTACCCACCAACCGCAGGCGGTCTTCGGCGATCTTGTGGCGGTCGTCGGCAATTTTCTAACAGCCTTCGGCGGTCTTCGTCGGTTCTCGACGCGAAAGCTGACTAGGGTCCATGATCGAACACCGAATGAACTGGGTGGACCCAGAATCGATGCAAGCTTTCGGTTCGGTTCGGGCCCGCCCCAGCAACCCGTAGAAGGCGCGGCTACGGCACGTCCAATCACAAATCCGGAAACGATGAGGAGGCCAGAAGGAGAGGCAGGACTGTCAGCGGTGACAGTGGCGGCGGGCCGGCCAGCCGACGTGTTGGTCGCTTTCGTCCGCTCTTACGGCCAGGACTCACCGGAGGCCGAGCGGTCGGGAGTGATTTCCGCCACCTGGAGGAAGATCCAGCGCTGTTTGGCTTTCGGCAACGCGGAGATGCAGCTTAGTGCGGTGTGAGCAGCCAAACAGCCCCTCAACACCCTCAGCACGACCACCGCGACAACCACCACGACCACAACTACACCACGTCCACCTCGACCTGGCCGACGACAACCACCGCGACCACGAACACCACGACCACCCGAACGACGACCACCGCGACCACCACGACCAACGCCAGCCCGACGACCACCACGACCACCACGCGACCACGCGTTGCACGACCAGCTCCACGAGCACGCCCTTCACCACAACCCCAACGACGACCACCACGACGACCGCCGCCTGCCGACTGCCCCCGCCCCGGGCCCCCTCCCCCTCTCCCTCCCTTCCCCTTGCCGGGCCGCCCCTGCCGCATCGCGCCCCCCGCTTTTCCTCCCCCTCCCTCCCCCTCCCTCCTCCTCCTCCTCCTCCTCCTCCTCCTCCTCCTCCTCCTCCTCCTCCTCCTACCTGGCGCCGATGAATTCGAGCGGCTCGCGGGGCACCGGCCCTGCGGGCGGACAATGGCCTTCCGGCTGCCCTGGGGGTCCCCTGCGGGGGTGCCGGTCCTTCCTGGAGGGAGAGGGCCCCCGGGGCCGAGGCGAGAGACAGAGAAAGAGAGAGAGAGAGAGAGAAAGAGAGAGAGAGGAAGAGCGAGCGGAAGAGAGAGAAGGAGAGAGGGCGAGAGGAAGAGGTAGGAAGAGAGAGGGATAGAGCGGAGTGGAGAGAGAGAAGAGAGAGAGGGGAAGAGAGAGAGAGAGAGACAAGCGATCCGCGCCACTGCTCTTGCCCAAGGGCGCCCCAAAGTCCTCGATCTGTGGGAAGGCGGCGCCTCTCCCGCCCCCCTCTCCCGCCCCGTGCCCACCCGAGAGGGGCGCCCTCCTGCAGCACTCCTGCGCGCCTCCGGGCTCTCCGCTGATGGATGCCCCCCTCCGTGGCCCTGCGGTGTCACAGGGGATGGCCGACCCCCGTCCGAGGCTTCGTGGGGTCTTCGAATGGACTAGAAACTTGGGGCCTAACTCTGGGGTGCACAATGAGGGGGCGTCCATCCTCGATAAAGGGTGCGTCCGAATGGCCCCCCTGGGGGTGTGTCCCAGGGCTGCCCTCCTTTTCTCAGCGGCCAAACTTATCGGGCGGAACTCGGATATTGGGGGAGAAAAGGGCCTGCGACGGTAGGCGGCAGCGGGCGGAGCAGCTGCCTTCCAGAGGCCCCAGAAACTCCAGACATCCTGGGGCGACCCCGGCCCCCAAAAAGGCTCGCTCACCGCGAATCACCGTTTAACTCAGGGGGCGGTGTGGTCGCCGAAGCCGCGAGTGGCGTACGACCCCCAACTCCCAAGCAATGCCTGCGACGTTGATCTGCAGGTGAGATCCAGTGCAGGCGGCGCGATCTTTGCATGGTGAGCTGGCCTGGTGAACCTGTGGCGTTCTGGCTTATATGAGCTGTATATAACGGTGACCGACGCTATGCGAGCAACCCGAGATGCAATCACCGAACACTGCCATGGACAGAGGCGGCAATCACAACATCAGAGGCGAACGCGCGGCAGGTGGGAGGCAAAACACGGGGGTGTAAACACCCGCACGGCTAGAGGGAGGATAGCAAGGTACCGATAACTCTCCCAATGTGCATTCTGAGTATAATGTCGAGGATAACCCGGCCATTGCGACGAGGGCTCTCCAGGACGAGCAGTGGTATCAGTACCTGTTTCTCCTTTGAAGCAGACTGCGACAACGGCAACTCGAAAGGCATCGTGATCAGAGGCTACAACCGATTCCGAGGCAGATTGGCCAGCTCGCGCAAGAGTCTTCGCTGCGCGAGGAAATCCACGGATGCCCTGGGGGGAGACTGGAAAAGGCTCGATGTATACACCACGACATTTGGTCGGCCAAAAAGCTCGGTGTATAGACGCCCCCGCTGCCCCACCTGTGTGAAGCTGGAGCGTCTATACACCATAGTCCTTCGCCGAGCTCATTAGCTCCCTGGCCGACCACACGACGTGGTCTACATCGGGAGCCTCCAAGAGACCTCCGAAGGCCCGAGAGGGCTGGAGAAGGCCTCTGGGGAAAGACGCCCAGGGCTAAGCTCACGGCCTGAGGCGAAGGCCCTGCGCCAGCCGACCAGGACAGACAGCTCGTGCACCTGTTCTAGGATGCAGTCCCTGGGGGGACTTAGCGAGAACGACTGAGGGAGATTGAGCCCGATTGAGGGGCCATTGAGCCGGATCAGCCCAGATTGAGCCAAAGAGTAAACCCATGATTGAGCCCGATCAGGCCGGACTGGACTGGATCGAGCGGGATTGAGCGGGGCTGTGCCAGATCAGGCTGATTCTCGACCACGGGCACACGAGCGCACCGAGGGCGAGTCTGACCTCCCGGGAGTTGTATCCCGAGCGCCCGCTTCTGCGCACGGGCCCTCTGTGTGGCCGCGCGGTCCCCGGAGGGCCGGAGGGGCGGCGCCGCCTGCGAGCGGCAGGCCTTCGGGCCGGGGCGCCTCCGCGCCTCGCGCGTCACACTGGCGGAGCGCCCTCGTCGGGGCGGTCAAAAACGCCACAGGGACCGGTGGGCAAGATTGGGCCTCCTGCTCGCCACCTCTGAGGGGTAACGACAGGGGGGAGGAGAAACATCGAGCTGGAATCGGCGATACATCGCCGATGGAGCGGCGACTCCCCGATAGCGACACCGCACCGTCCTGGGTGGGCTGGGCTATCGGGCCCCCATCGGCGATCATTAGGCGATTGGGGGTCGATGCACCCCCTCCTGGGCCAGTCCCCCCATAACACTAGGTCCTCAAGTTTTCGGGCCACAACTCGGCTGACCAGCGGCCGTTCGGGACGATTCCAGTCCCCCCGGGACGCCCTCGGCGAGGCGCAGCCGCTGGATAGAACCCCAAGGCTGGAAACCCGTCGAGAACCAACGAGCACGTCCGAAAACCTCGAGCTTCGATCCCGAGAAAGTCAACTGCCACCCCCCCAACGTTGCCCCTGAACCTACCCTCTCTCTGGAATTCTCAGGATGGCGCCGACGACACACCTAATTACACCCTGCACGGAGTCCCGCGGGGCTGGCGCTGGGCAGACTCCATCTCTTGGCCCGAAGGCTTGTACGTCCGCCCTCCTCCTGGCACGGCCGGGGAGGCGTGTACGCCAGTCCTCGGCCCAGGAGAAGACTGCCCACGATCGGTGCGAGTAGATAGTATATAGTTGGTGTCCCCCCATCTCTGTCCCTGTGGTTTTGACCACCCTGATCCAGCTGGAAGCATATCCGCCTGCCCCCCTGGGGCCGATAACAAACCACAGGAGACTCCGACCCACGCAAGCAAAAGCATGACAGACCAAAAATACTGCACGGCACACCCAAAGACGATCAAACACCGAACCAACCTGGAAACAAGAAAAGCACTGCCTCTTAGCTTGTCAGACTCACGCTGCAAAGAAGCGACGGTCAGTCCCAAGGACGTGGCAGGAGTAAAGTCAACAGGCTACACAATCAAACCACACATTGCAATCCTACACAGGTCCTGCCTCGCATCGCTGGACGTGCCACAGCCAAAATTGGTGACTGTAATATGTTGCAGGCGTGCGCACATATGTCGCAACGTGTCCTAAAATATTTGCCCCGTTTGACTTATGCCGAACAAAAACCGTCGGGGGTTGCTAAGTGCGTCCCTGGCCCGAAGTGTCTGCAACTTTCCGCTCAACGTTGGAGCCCCTGGGGCCCTCTGGGCACCGTGAATGGATGGTGCTCCTGAAGCCGTGGAGGCCTCCTTAGAAATCCTGGGGACACCGTAGGCCCGGGACACCTCTGGCAACACCAGGCTCAGAGGTAACAGACAGGCAGGCGCCTGCAACGTCCCGCAGGACGGCCCCTTGGGACCTCGGCGGGGCGACGGAGCGAAACTCAGGTCAAGAGGAACACGACATACCGCGCGAAGCAGATGGTCAGCAGCACATTGGTGCTGGCTCTGTGAAACTTCGTGGCCACAACCGGTTCAAACGTGGGCCCAGGACACAGGAATTCTGAGAAAAGCTGGGTGCTCTGCGATCGCCTGCACGGGCTTGCAGATGACGTGCGCTGCATCCTCCTGAGAAGCCAGTCCCATTGATGGGATCTGGAGCGTCGCGGACTCAGCCTGAAAAAATGCTCACTAGACATTTGCAGTTACAAGGCTCTCTGACGCAGACAGCCTGCATGCGAACACGATCACACCAATTCAGAAACATCGGCGAGCATGCCGAGCGCTTGCCGGCAGAAACCCTACACCTAAAGCATCACATGATCCAGTGGAACGACTTCGTGGGCTGCATCGCCCCAGAGTGGTTCAGAGGCTGCACGAGCTCCTGGATCATTGCAGGAGGCAGGCAGGCAAAGTACAGGATTCGGCCTGACCTAAGGAACGAGAAATAAGGAGCGAAGCCCCTTTTTTCCAATAAGTCTAGGAATTCCAAAGGAACAACAGAGGGGCTCGCCGCCGAAAAGGTAGCGGAAACCATGGAAACCAAAAGAACGACCGAACCCCTTTTGAAAAGTAAGTACCGCCGTCCGAGACTGCCATCGCCATCTCTTCAACATCGGGTATAAGCTGCTGCCCGTATGTATCCTGTCAACCAAAATAATATGCGAAATAAGCGTGCAACAAGGATGTCCCCTTTTGCTCCCTACATGATCGGGGGAGGGGGGGCGAACCTGAAAAACTTGCCAAGGGACATATTATTCCTGGGAGCCTCCGATTGCCAAGCCAGCCACGCCGCCGCCCTGCGCCTCGAGTTCAAAGGAAACCAGGCTGACGGTTGACACAGATAATCATACCTGACCTCATGACGCGTATGCCACTGGCAACGTTGATGAGCCTGGAGATTGGGAGGGTATCGGGCGCAGCTCATGAGGGACACGCTCTGTTCTACATGTAGTGTCAGCATTGGTTTTCAGAAGATGTGGTTTCGCAAGAGGCTTCGCAGTACCGGCAGCAGCTCTAGATTCGACAGTGGACTGAGCATTAAGGATAAGCTTTAGCCCCAGATCGAGCAGTAGCGTTATATGTGGCTTGGCTTCAACTTATCCTCGAGCTTACGAAGCCAGTATGAATCCGCTACCACGCCTCTGGCTCGGGCCCGTGCTGGTCCGTAGTGCCAGAACATCCGGATGATTCCCCAATCATTGCATGCACTGAAGGGGTCCCAACGGATATTTCCAAATCAGTGCTTGCGCTAAAGGGGTCCGAGTGTCTCTTCGGGCCCTACGGCGAACATGCGGCCAGGCATGGTACCTGCCAGTGTTTTCAAACCATCCACTGATTGGGTGTTTTCTCTGGCGCGGGTCGCGGGGCCTGCGATCACGGGCGCTCTCGGAGGGCTCCCGTGGTCTGCCGCGGGCTCTCGAGGCTTGATATGTGACTTTGTCGGTCCATCTTGGTTTCTGACACAGCGCGGGTCGTTCAACCTTCAACGATCGGCTGCTATTCGATCGCCAGGTCTTTCCACATTGGTGGCCGATTCTGGGTCACTGGCGGCGTTCAACCTTCAACGCCAACGGCAGGGTCGACGCCGAGTCGACACGACACGAACATACAGATGCAGCCCTCCGCCCAGACCTGCTCCAAGGGCATCAGGGACCCATTTCGTGGACCCCCTGGGGTCTCGTCGGCCGTCTGGGAGGCTCTGGAGGACGGATCAAAGGCCAACGCAAGTCAAGCGCCTTGATTGTTTACCTTGTTTGTTTACCAATTTGTGTTTCTCGCCCCTTCAGCCTCCAGGGCATCCAAGACGCCGCAAGAGACACCCAGGAATCTACCAAGACAGCCCCAAATGCCCCCACCCCCACGAACATGGTTGAGAGTCCGCTCTCTCCCGCCAGGATGCCGATGCCCCCAAACAGGGCTCTGGGAGGAACTCTGAAGCCTCGCAAAAAGCCCACGCCCTGTGATGCCGATGTATTCCAAGCCACGTCCCAAGATCCTGACATGGGGTCTCCCGAGGAATATAAGACATAAGGGCCTCCCGTCCCCACGATCCTTCCACCGGGGCTCTCGGACAACGTGGCTGGGAATGCGTCGAGGTCCGCCGACCCCGCTGCGCCCTGACTTAGTCTGGCACCGTGCAGGCAAGTGGCCGATGGCCGCTGCATCCTCCGCACCTGTGCGCACAGGGTGCAGGCCGCGCCGAGACGCAAGTCACCTTCGGGCTGGCTCGCCAAACCTCTTCACAGGCACATCGGCCCTGCATCGCCAACGTCGCTCAACCTCCCCTGGATGCCGCCAAGGTGGGCCCAGAGGCGCCGACAACCCCATACGGCCTGGAAATATCTAAAGGCTGCGCCATAGTGGCCCGAGAGAGAGTGCAGACAGCCCCCAGAGGGCTCACGAGTCCTTCACCACAGCCCAAGAATGGGCTCGAGCTACGCGGGGGGTTGTTCGTGCTCGTGTTGTTTTCCTGTTCCTTCGTTATGTCTCCATTCCCTCTCTGCTGCAAAACGAACTCAAAACGAACTCAGTCCACGAAATCACCATAACACCGATGAGCTCCCATGGCGCCAGACGCCAAAGGTTCCCCATATGACCTGGGAAGTCAAACTCACCGAGTTACAAATGCAATGTCCCCAAACTGTCCCATGCGTGCTGGCTCCGAAACTTTCAATGCCAGGGTAAGACTTTCCACGGCAACCGCAAGAGACCGCAGACACGACCAAGAGGACCCCAACACGGTCCACGAATCCCTAGACGGCCCGTGTGTACACCAATGCGAGACGAATGCGTCTCAGAGGGACCTATCTCGGCCACAGCATGACCGCTCGGATTCGAGCCCACGTCTCGGAGAACGAGATGCCTACTTTGCTTAGGTATGTGGTCACAAGGGTTGGGACCTTGATGGGACAAGAGCGGGAGGCGCCGCTTTGGTCCAACGGGCGTATTGAGCGAAGAAGAAGAGGAAGGCAAGGACGACGAAGTGGCGATTACGAGGACGACGTGGAGAACGTGAGGATGCCTCGAGCGACATGGCCGTGTATCAGACACCTTTCTTGACATGAGCGGGGAGCGCGTGGGAGGAAAGAGGTGCGCAAGAACTTGCAACATCATCACGATCAAATGTAATACAGGCGAGCTCTCCGGACGCTCACAAGGATTACGTATGGACACGCGCCGCCCGAACGTTCACAAGCGTATTCCTGGTTATCCTCCTCACTCCTCCGCATGAGGAGAACGACGGCGACGACGATGACCGGGGGAGGAGGAGGAGGAGGAGGAGGAGGAGGAGGAGGAGGAGCAGCAGCAGCAGAAGAGGGCTACTCGCGCCAACCCCCCGTGCCCCCGGGCCCCCTCCTCGCCCGGCTCCGCTCCTTGCGGTCGTCGCCCCCACCTGACTCTGGTGCGCCCTTGCCCACTCTCGCTGCTGCCAGCCGGGCAGCCCTCCGCTGACCCGCCTTCCGCCCTGCGCCTCGGCGCTCGTGGGCGCGGCTCGCTGCTTCCCGCTCGCCTAACTGTGGCGCGGCCCTCGCCCAATCCTGCTGCCGGTCGCCCGGCGCCCGCCCCGCTGCCCGCCAGCGTTCGGCCCTGCCCGCTGCCCCCTGCCTCCCCAGCGCCCCGCACCGCCCCCTGCAGCCACTGCCCCGTGAGGGGCTGCCCTTTCTCCGTTCTATTTCCTCCTTCGGCTACTGGGCGCACGCGATCCTCCGCGCGGGCACTTGACGCCATGGCGGTGCGCCTGGCCGCGCTGGCCAGCCATTCCTTGTGTGTTTTGTATGTGTGTGTGTGTGATTGTGTGTGCTGCATGGGTGTATGCGTGCTGCATGTGTGTATGTGTGCGTGCGTGCGTGCGTGCGTGCGTGCGTGCGTGCGTGCGTGCGCGCGCGTGCGTGCGTGCGCGCGCGCGCGTGCGTGCGTGCGTGCGTGCGTGCGTGTGTGCGTGTGCGTGTGCGTGTGCGTGTGCGTGTGCGCGCGTGTGTGTGTGTGTGTGTGTGTGTGTGTGTGTGTGTGTGTGTGTGTGTGTGCGTGGCTGCTACGCCGCTGACATAAACGAGTGTGTGTGTGTTTGTGTGTGTGCGTGCGTGCGTGCGTGCGTGCGTGCGTGCGTGCGTGCGTGTGCGCGCGTGTGTGTGTGTGTGTGTGTGTGTGTGTGTGTGTGTGTGTGTGTGTGGGCGTGTCTGGGCGTGTGGGTTTGAGCCTGCCTGGGCGAGCCTTAGCATGAATCGGTGTGCAGTGGTTCAGGGTAATTACGGCTTTGAACGAGTCTGAGCTCGAGCGGGTCTCAGTGGTGAGCGGGTACGAGCGGGTACAAGTAATCGAATACAAGCGGGTCCCATGTGCGGCGGCTCTGCGAGAGCAGGGTGGGGAAGACAGAAGAGATGACGGGCAGAGGCGTGACGCGAATAGCAAGGACCGAGCACGCATGACGTGAAGCATAAAGAGCCTCCCTCAGGACTATCGGAAAGCGGTCCTTGCGCGTGCACTCTCGGGGGAGGCTCGGAGCAGAAGTAAGGCAACAGCTGCCCAATTTCGGTCCCCTGGCTCATTCTGGGGCTCAAACGCACCAGTCGTCCGAGATGCGTCCAGCGCGGCAACAAGGTGACGCCTCGAACGCCAACGACCTTTCTCTGACCCCGCCCCTTACCGCCCTCCTCCCGGGGGTGGCGCGGAAGTCCCCGTCGGCGGTGCCCACCGCGTCGCACGAGGGTTCGGCCATGGACGCGGCCAGGTCCGGGTACTTCTCCCCGAAGAGGAAGTAGGCAGCGTCGATGCGCCTGCTGCACTGGAGCCTGTGGCGGGGCCGAGGGCAAAAACGAGGAGGGAGGCAGACGAGGACACGGGCACGAGTGGAGGAGGGACCGTGGCCGCAAGCCTGTCCCCTCCACCTCGAACACTCTTGCTCGAGAGACGCTCGGGACGTCCACGGCCGCTCGCCCTCGCGCGCCAGAGCCATCCCCGCGCCCACGAGCTCTTGCCACAGGGGGGGCCTGGCGAACTGAACCTCAGGAATAGTTTCACGAAGGGTTCTGCCTTACAGTAACTTCGGACCTGACTAAAGGCACTATGATGATCGCCTGAAACGGCACTAAGGATCCGCGCTGTCGCGACAGCGCGAAAGAAAGCTGAGAAGCGAGCCGTTCGAAGATAATTAACTAATAATTTGTGGGCCATGAGTGTGTCAAAAGTCATTCGCAGGCCTTTATCTGTGACAAATTCAGCAGTAAGGCATTTCATTTTTACATAGCAGCGAAGACTGATAGGTTTCTAGTGGGCACAAAAGAACGCATCTTGACTCCCCAAGGGTGCCTGGGCGGGTGCTGGGAGAAGCCGGGGAACCCAGGGACTCCCCAGGACTCCTATAGATTCCTATCGTTTCCTATGTTTTCCTATATATTCTGTTCCCAGAACACAATTCCCAGGCCACATTTTGAATGCCCGGAGCCAACTGTAGGCCACTTCGTGTTCTTCGTCTTCCCAGAACATCATTCCCAGGCCACATTTTGAATGCCCGGAGCCATCAGTAGGCCACTTCGTGTACTTCGTGTTCCCAGAACACCATTCCCAGGCCACATTTTGAATGCCCGGAGACAGCTGTAGGCCACTTCGTGTTCTTCGTGTTCCCAGAACACCACTCCTGTACCATATTTTGATTGCCCGGAGCCAACTGTGGGCCACTTCGTGATCTTGGCGTTCCCAGAACACCAGTCCTGGGCAATATTTTGAATGCCCGAGCTGAGGCAGGCTGAGGCCGAGGCAGGCTGAGGCCGAGGCAGGCTGAGGCTGAGGCTGAGGCACGCCGAGGCAGGCTGAGGCTGAGGCTGAGGCAGGCTGAGGCTGAGGCAGGCTGAGGCTGAGGCTGAGGCTGAGGCCGAGGCAGGCTGAGGCTGAGGCTGAGGCAGGCTGAGGCTGAGGCCGAGGCAGGCTGAGGCTGAGGCTGAGGCAGGCTGAGGCTGAGGCTGACGCTGAGGCAGGAGGCTGAGGCTGAGGCCGAAGGCAGGCTGAGGCTGAGGCTGCAGGCTGAGGCTGAGGCTGAGGCAGGCTGAGGCTGAGGCTGAGGCTGCAGGCTGGCTGAGGCAGGCTGAGGCTGATGCAGGCTGAGGCTGAGGCAGGCTGAGGCTGAGGCCGAGGCAGGCTGAGGCTGAGGCTGAGGCCGAGGCAGGCTGAGGCTGAGGTTGAGGTTGATGCTCAGGCAGGCTGAGGCTGAGACAGGCTGAGACTGAGGCTGAGGCAGGCTGGAGCTGAGGCAGGCTGAGGCTAAGGCCGAGGCAGGCTCAGGTAGGAATCCTTAGGGTTCCCTGGGAATCCTTCCCTAGGAATCGAGATTCCTAAGGATTCCGAAGGTTTCCTAAGGGTTCCTATGGATTCCTAAGGATGCCTAAGGATGCCTTCGGAATACATAACAATCCTTAGGATTCCATTGGATCCTAAGGCCGTTGCCACTGCGACTGTCATTGCGAATGCGACTGCGACTGCGAGAACAGCAGAATTCTACAACTGGATTTTCACATGAATATTAAAGGGAAATGCTTCCAAATATGCTTATACAGATCGCTGTTCGGTTCCTTTGCCGGGATAACTCTGAAAACGCTCAAGAGAGGAAGTAGCATCCGCTGCCCGACACGGGCGACAAAGAAACTCGTACGCCTGGCGATCGCAATGTGCGTGCATCAGGGCAGGCTTCCCACCGCTCACACCAAACACACCATCGTTCCGGACTCGGGGCGGCCGAAGGAGGAGCAGGAGGAGGAAAAGGACGAACGAACCCAGAGAAACCAGTCAGAAGCCAGGAGCGGCGGCCAAGCCAACCTTCAATAGGCGAGCTGTCGCGCGCTCCCTGGGCCTGGGAAGACGGGCAATAAAGCAAGCTTATAGACCGCGGAGGTCATCGCCCGACTGCTCGGCAGTCTAGGCGCCCACGTGGCCAACGCAGAGCAATCGCAGAGAAACATAACTTCATAATTGCGACGCCGAGGAAGAAAGACAGGAAGGATGAAGGCGAGAAGAAGGAAAAGGAAAAGGAGGAGGGTGCGACAACAGCAACCCGGGCCGAGACCGCGAGGGCTGGCGTTCAGTGAGGTGAGATCTCACAAACGTGTTATCACAAAGTGAACAACGCGATGGCGAGAAACAACAACGAACTACTTGATAATCCGACCATGCAATGGGAGGGAGGAAACACAAAGAGGGGCAAAGAGAAAAACTGAGCCTGCCGCGCGCACTTACCAGCACCTACCAACGCTTCTGACCGCCGTAAAACTCCACGGGAACGCACTGAGAAACCTACTGGACCGGCCAGGGCTGCCCTGCCACAATCTGCAGGCCCGGCGCGGCGATCGAGAAACACGTTTGGTAGGGATCAACACTCGGGCCACTGCTAATCCCTACCAAATCGTTCCTGCAGCCGCGCACGACGGACGCCCGCATAGACGCTGGCGACTGGCTTGGAGGAAAAACAAACGAACAGGAGCGGACTGCAGGACAAAAAATGCAAGGACCACTGGAATTCTTAAATAAGACATCAGTTCCTGACACGCCATGTACAATTTCATCAACAAGTATGTGCAATAGCCCCAGGCTCGGGAGCTCGCTATGCAACCGCGCACGCTGAAGGGGTGTCCTGCGAACGTGGCCGAAATTGCGGCCATACGCTCGTGCAGGGCGGAGAGGGGAGGAGAGGGGAGGAAGAGAAAGAGCAGCGGGAGAGAGAGTGAGCTAGCGAGCCTGAGCAACCACCTGTTCTTCCGAGTGTGGCTCTCTGCCCTGGGCCCCCCTCGCGCACCTACTCGCGGTAAACCCCACCAGTGTCTGCGGCATCCGCCAGGTGCCCATGCCGACGTGCATTGCGTGCCCGGTAGAGGCTGTATTTGTGTAGGGCCCACTGTACAATGGCATCTGGGTCGGTCCCTTGGGCTCCCAAATTCAGGAACCAATAGAAAACGAGTGCGGTTGTGGGGCAGGGGGCGCCAGGGAGGGCGCGCACGACTGGGCAGAAAGCCAGGCGGCGAAGACTGTCCTCACTGGTGCGGCATCCAAATGGACAGCGGCCATTGCCGCCGAAACGCGCGCTCGTGCACCATCCGCGGCACCAGAGGCGCAGAACGGTGGCCCAGACGCGCGGCTGACACTTTTCACCCACGATCCGGAGCACCTGCAGAGCGTCGGCCGAGCGCCGGCGCGGAAGCGACTGTGGAGGCCACCGCGCTAGGCGGCGGACCAGCGCCGGCAGCGCGATTGCGCCGGCCGTGGCAAACTGGGAAAGGCGGAGCTGGGCGACAGCATGCTTCTGCCATCCCGCCCTCCGACGCCAACGAGGGCGCGTCGCCGTTTTCTCTCGCGCGGCTCGTACCTGGGACGCGGCTTCGTCCAGGGACGACAGGATGGACGTCGAGATCCACTGTCGCAGCCAGCCTGCTCGCGCAAGAGAGGCTGCATCGGACAGGTCCGCATACGAGGCAAGCAACTTGGCACTCCGCGCGCTGATCTGCAGTGTGCCGCCCGCCTCCCAACTAGTGACCCTGGCCTTCGCCGCGAGCATCGTCAAAAGCAGGTCGGGGAGCTCGACCGGGAACCCAAGGCCCTTCATGTCTTTGAGCACGTCCACGGGCGCCCAATCCCTGGGCCCTGGGAACAGCTTCCGGCAAGCGTGAAGCTCGCACTCCTTGATGTCGTTGGGCGGGGGCTCCAGCTGGCCAACGAACAAAAGGACGGACGCCACGTAGGCCTTGTACGCCTGCGCCGTGAGCAGCAAGCCTGCGCTGGCGCGGCCCCGTTGGGCAGCCCGCGCAAGGAACTTGACGCGGGGCTCGCCCCAGGACCTCGCCCCCTTTCCCGGCCCCAAATAAAGGCCCAGGTACTTCGCGGCGTCCGCAATGAGTATATTTGCCCAACAAGGGGCCGCAGAAGACAAGAGTGCGCGTACCCGCTGCTGGTCAAATGGGTCTGTCGGGACGACCGCCGTCTTGGTCACGTTCAGGGCGAGCCCGGACAGGAGCGCGAACTCGTCGAAGACGAGCTGCAGACGCCCCAACTCGGGCCCTGCCCGCGCGAGCACCATCGCAAGGTCATCCGCGAAGGCCCTCTGGACGGAGCGCGGGAAGTCCCTTGCCAGCTTGCGTAAGAGCAGGTCCGAGCACGCCGCGAAGAGCAGCGGGGAGAGGGGGCACCCTTGCCGGATCCCACGCGTCAGGAGAAGCCCGGGACAGCGGGCACCGCCGATGCTGACCTCGCACGCATTCTCCCGGTAGAGGCTCGCGATGAAGGAGAGGAGCCAATCTGGCCAGCCCAGGCTGCGGAAAACATCCAGCAAGACTTGGTGTTCCACGGACGGGAAAGCCGCCGCAAAGTCGAAGAAGATGGCGAGCCCCCCCTCCGACTCCAGACCCGTCGTAATCATGCTCTCCTCGATGTCGATGATGTTGCTGAGCATGGAATGCCCCTGTAAGAGCCGCGCTGCGAGCCAGCGACAAGCGGCTTCAGCGTCGTTTCGATCAAAAATCTGATGGCGCTGGCCATGAGGCGTATGTCCGTGTTGGTAATGGACAGCGGCCGCACCCCTCCAGGATCGAAGAGAGTTTCCCCCTCTTCTGTGGTGCCCCCAGCCTTCTTGGGTAGGAAGATCAGGAGGCTGGCATTGAGGTCGGGACAATATCCCTCCTGCAGGGCCTGGGCCTCTGGGGAGCAGAGCGCGCCCGCTGCGTCGAAGAGGGCGTCCACCGCGAGGTCTTCCAGTGCGCGCCACGCGACGTAGGGGATGACATCCGGGCCCGGCGCGGAGCTGTTCGAGCATCGG